GACGTGTGTTTATCGCAGAGAACCACACAAATCACTACCCTCATGGATGCTAAAAAGAACTCTTTTAAAGCAAGCTCACAATTAGAAAAATATTCAAGAAGCTTTCCTTCCAAAAAAATAAATCGACTCAACTGCGAGCCTGAAAAAACTAATAGGTCCAAAAACCTCCTTGGAAAATATGTAATTTGCTGGAAGTTCGACCCAAAATTTCTGATTGGCTGGAACCATGGAGCAAAATAATTGATTGGTTGAAATCGCGATCTCGAAAAACCTAATTGACTGAACTGCCTTTATGAGAAAGTCTTATTCCAAAATCTGGCTCGACATATCGAGATATATGTGTATACGTGATTGCAAACATACAAGTATAGTCACAACCTCATTTTATTTCATATGATTCTGCCTTCACTCGAGGAAATTACATAAAGTCCCCGACATAATAGAAAACATCCCACTCAGAAAAGCGTTTTTCTTAAAATAATTTCCGAAGTTTATTGACTTTTTTAGTACTTAAGTCCATGTTCATGCAAGTATAGCACAGGTATAATCCTATTCTTTTTTATACGTATCAAGTCCGAAATCTGAATTCAATTATTGAATGTTTTATATCCGAATAGCTTATATCCATAGATAAGCTATTCTAATATTTCGGAAAAGCAAATGATTAAATATTAACATGTTAAAATATTCGGAAATGCGGATAGGACCGATTGGTCAACGTTAACGGTCCTATCTATACTCTAAATCGGTATTTTCCTTCTATATAAATTAACTGATCAAGATGATGTCAGTAAATCTAACACTAAGCTTTCAAAAATTTTTTTTTTCGACGAAAAATTGTTCTCGTAGATTGTGAGCGACAAAGCAGTTTCGAATTAATGAAGCTCAAAATTTAGCACTGGCGAATAATAAGTCATATTTCAAAAATTTGTAGAGGGGAAATGAGTCAATCTGCGATCAAAATGTCAATATTAGATCATTCCAGAATAGTGAAAAGAGTGTTCTGAGGAGGTCTCTTGGTGATATCTAATAGTCGTTTATCTTTCTTATTGTGTTTTTTCACGCATGTTTGACAAGCTCGCAAAATAACAGAACTGTCTTTGTTCTTTATCTTTTATCTTTTGCATGTGGCAAACATCTTGTCTTGTATCTTATTCATGAACGAAATTTGAGGATGGATCGAGAACATTATGATACATTAATGCTGAAAAATTTAAAATTTTTAGTTCTTCTTTCAGCGAGTTCTGAAAGATTCTTCTGGAACCACTTTTTGTTCGGTCTTTTGGCAGCATCTGGTAAAAAATCTATCTGAATCCCATGTCGTTATGCAAAATTTTGATTTTGATGTCAAGCTACTTGCAAGACTTCACTTCAACATTCCATGCTAAAAGAACCGTTTTTGGTGTTAATTTGTCTTTCCAGAAGACTTTCATTGGTTTCTAGATGAAAATCGATAAGATTTCGAGGCTTGTATAGGTATGTGATAGTTCCAGCTCAGCTCTCTCAGCGAGAACTAGACTGCTAGTTCACATTCACACCAGCTGGAGCTGATCACCAGCTCAACTACCGCAAGGTAGTCCCTACAACTTTTTGAAGCATATTCAGGACCAGGGGAGAGAAGCTACCGTAATGTTGTTATCAGATACCAGAAACTACTCAGCTTGTTTTTTCCGTAAAGGAAATTCAATTTTACCACAATTACAGCTTTAAAAAACTTTGACCAAAGCTGTTTAACGTCCAATAATAGGCGTTCCCACTTTGCTTTTTCACCTAATCAGATTTCTGCAATTTTTTCTTCACTCCATTATGGACACAGCATGGTGTAGTATATGGTATTCAAGACAGAAGTTTAGGTAACCCTTAGATTGACTTGAAGAACATCATGTTTCTCCTCTATTGCAAGGATGAAACGTAGTATTCTTCTAGTTAATCCTGAGGTTATTTGGAGTGATCTCTCAAATGGCACACGTACTACTTCATGCTGAGCCCATAATGGAGTGGAGAAAAAGTTGCAGAAATTCGATTAGGTGAAAAAAACAACATGAAATTTTTGAAACTATGAAACACTATATTTATTAGCACTAATATGAAAACCAAATGTTCAAAAGTATTTCAGGGTATGATAGCTGTGAAAAAAACTAGATGACCAGAGTCCGACATGACATTCACTACACTCGATCTATTACAGGAAGAAAGAAGTTGAAGGAGAACATACGAATGATAATGTAATGATCCATCGCAAATGATAGATCTATGACCAGCACCAGCGTTCACACCATTGGAATATCGTAAGAAACATGGTTAAGTCAGCTGCTAGTTGAATAAGTAACCGGACCACATATATGGGTTCCCACCTCCAAAGAGTTAATGATACTATTATTCCATGAAATATAGTTTGTTGTAAGAAAAATTGATATGCAACATAAATTACTAGTAGATTAACTAATGCGCCAATTCCAATGAGAATGTATGTGATAATCATAATTATTCGGATTAATGGAAGTTGTTTCAACGATTTAGATATGAAAATATCTTCCTTACCAAATATAATTCGATGAAATATCGAACTAGAATCAAAAGATATTGACACTGACGAATGTTTCATTTGCGTATAGAAGAAACTTAATTATGAAATCTAAAATACTTTCAACAGCATATAAAATAAAGCCATGACTTTTATAAATTCAGTTTTTCTAAAAGAGTCAGTTTTTTTCAATAGCTCTGTTGGCGTCAATAGAGGACGCTCTATTATTGCTAACTATCCAGTTGTTTCCCATTAGTTCTCCTTCTTTATCTTCTCAATGATAACATATATTTTCTCCGGATATTCCAGCGTTTATCTTCTGATCTTGTGATTTAGTGCGTGATCTGGTAATATACAGCAATGGAAGAAATGTCAATCAATATCGAATGCACTACGTGTGGCAACATCTAAGATGGGACTCTTTTTTAAAAGCTCATATTTATAGCATATGAAGTATATCACTAATCAAGATTATTTATGGTGTTAAACTCCTCTGACCTACTATAATCATGGAGCTAAAATAAAGTCAATGAGTTAATTTAATGACATCTTTCATTTATATTGTTCTCGAACAAAATCGGTGGTACTATTATCAAATTGTTCGCGTAGTGTAACGCCATCATTTATGTGAGACTCAGCTTTCGCGAAAATAAAATATATTGGTAAATATACCCTCTGTTTTTATACGTTTTTATCAAAATTTTTTTTCTGACCTTTCTGTTCAAGCTAAGTGCATAAATGGATCTCTCAATCAACATTGATTTGATGATTCATGCATATGCAATAATAGACCAATCTTTCTCTCAGTTGTTGTTTTTCTCTTCCTGGTGATATTGTTAATTCACCTTTTTCTATTATTATTGTTTTTCCATATTCATATTATCTCTTGTCTTTCTATCATTATTATTATATTTTCTTGGTTGTATTGATATAAATAAAACTTTATTTGATCCCCGTTACATCCCTTTATCAACATATCAATATGCGGTAAGCAAGTTTTTTTTTTTTATGTGAGATATCTCGTTCCCGTAGCAGACCGGGATTAAATATAATTGTCATCTAGCCTAAGCCTTGGTGTGAGCCAAGAGTCATTGACATCTCAGAAACGAGAATCCCGCAAGCTTGCATTCTAAAATTCAAAACTTGATTGGAATTATATTTTTGAAACCTTTCCTTCAGAAGAGTAAATAAAACGATTTGAAATATTTTCGTAGGATTTTCGAAATCGAATTAACCTCATCCAGACTATCATGTTTATAAGAAAATAAGCAAAGTAAAAGTAAAAGTAAAATGAAAAGAATATAACCCAAGATCATTTTCATATTGAATTTGTCTAGAAATAAACCAAACGAACTATAATTGTCTCATAGAAAAGAAGAGGCAAACGTAGTAAAAGTACGCCTAAATATTACGATTATAAGAAAAAGAAAACATTTACTAGTGGTTTTAAACAAAAAGCCAAGGTTAGGAACAAATTTACACAAGAGAGAGTGAGCTCACCAGTGGCTGAAAAGGCAACGAAAGATAAAAACCAACAAACAAAAAGTTTTTTATTATAAAAATCAAATTTAACTGTCTTTCATCTATGAATTGACAAGTTTCACATCTTAGAAGAAGATTTCTAAATGTGGTTTAAAAAAAATATGTTGAGACCAGTCAACACTATACTACTCATTCGACAGATAAAGCCTCAAGTCGAATTGCATCATTGTTTATATTTATCACGGAAGTAGTCGCAAGTCTTCGTGCTAGATAGAGACTCTAAAAGGAAAGAGATTGTTGTTACACATTTTTTTGTTATCCTTCATATGTTTGTCTGAGTTCTCTGCGACAAAAACAAAACACAAGTATTCATGTTATAACCTGTAACAGCCATCTGTGACCAAACATGAGACACGAACAATTCCAAAGAAGGCGTTTTGCTAGATGATTTATATGGCTTCAAATACAAATAATCGACTGGCTTACAACGAGCTTTTTCGAATATATGAATAGCACTCTATATCATATCCTTATTTTACTCTTCGTTATTCTAGTAAAAAACTAACAATAAGCGAAACATGTGTTTATGACAAGTTAAGAAACGATAAAATAGTCCTACGATCTGTTTTCTCTCACTTAATAATAAAGTGATATAATTTAAATGATCCGTTATATGATAGTGTGACGAACAGACCATAGCGCAAAATCATCATTTTTAGAACATGAAATGATAAACACTATGTCAAAATTTTCATTGTATGTGTAATCTTGACTTCTCTCTTACGAAATACTGATAGTCTTATCTCTACTGCTCTTGCGCAAGAAACTGGTATTGCGAAGTGTCAATTGTTGTATTTATATAACATACAACATTAGAGAGAACAAAATACAATTGTTCTTTGTTTTGATTAGTATTACGTTGCTGATCTAACAAGTAAAATGATGATTGTTATGAGTAATTTAGCAAAAATTATATTCTTAACATAATTTTAGTATGGGTGATGATCAAGCTCTCGTCGCCAGTTGGCTTCATGAAGAATCAACATGGCAGCAACAATTTCGAGGTTGGGATTTTTCGCAACTAACCTCCAGTGGACGAATATCATTTAACATGTCCGAAGAACAATTAGGTTGGGATTATACAAAGATTATTTGTCAAACAGCTGCACAATTTGCAGATTCAGACGATGAGAATAAGAGCAATGAAATTTATTTGCTTGATTTGGGAACAGGTGGTGGTGAATATTTAGAAGGAACACTAGCAAGACTTCCAAGCAACGAGAAAAAGTTGATAGTATACGCAACAGAATCATATGAACCGAATTTTCAATTAGCTAAGCAACGTTTAACACCTTACGGTGTGACTGTTATTCAAAGTGAATCGGATAGTCTGAATAGTTTGCTACCATTTACAGACGATGGACCGAAATTTGACTTGATAATCTCTCGTCACACATGTTACAATATTCGCGAAGTTGATCGTCTCCTTAAATTCAAAACTGGAATCTTTATAACGCAACAAGTCGATGGAACATCTGGACAAGATTTAATTGAACTATTTGGCCATCAGCCACAATGGCCATTTTTTACTCTTGCTTATGCTTCTCTAACACTGAAAAATCAAGCACCATCCATGAAATTGATTAGAGCACAAGAGTCAGAAACAAAGTTAGTGTTTAAAGATATTGGTGCATTGATCATTTATTTGCATGCTGTACCGTGGATGGTAGAAGATTTTAGTGTACAAAAATATCAAGATGTTCTATTGAAATTATATCATAATGAACAAAAAGAACTGGCATTTACTAGTAAATATATGTTGTTAAAGGCAATTAAACTAGCGGACAAATGAATGTAAGATGCCGATTGAGTTTATCCTTCTGAGCTGTTTTGTAATAAAAAAAACATCTATTGAATTTCATTGCAATATTGTGATTTCGTCACTAGAAGTTCTATTGAATACAAGAAGAAAGTCTAGTGCATGTTTCATTCAATCGATCGCCAAATTCATACATGGAAAGAATTCTATTGAATGTCGCGTTGTGAAATAGTTTGTATTGTGACAACGTGTATTTTATTTCAGCCAATCATTCGTACGACCAAAACAGACAGGTGCGCAACCATTTTCATCAGTTTCAACGAACAAACCAATATTGTCCAGATAATCAAGTTGATCAATAATACCTGTTTTGATCTCACTTCAATCTCAAGACTTTCGACAGATGATATTGTACAAGCGAGTGCATCGATAGAAACATCATCGTTCGATTCGAGATAACGAATTTGTGAAGGAATAATGAACGATGGATCAAATTTCATGCAGAATCTATTTAAACAAGGTGTGGGACTGATGAGAACATGTAGTTTAGCTATCAATACATTGAATATCTTCTTTGTGGACAACGTGCTCATATGGAACTTGATGGCATTATCATTAGTACGTTTAACGAATTATTATGTACTACAATGTCTCGATGTAAGAATACCTTCCTTAAATTCAATGTATCTGAAGCAAGTTGATACTTTTATGAAAAAATTGCAGAAAAAATCAATAAGCATTTGTTAGTTAAAATGAAAATCACGGTTGTTTCGTCATCTACACGAGGTTATGCTATCAGTCACATCTATACTAAACGAGCAATGGATCGTTCTCATTGATAAAAACACAATAAACAAGCGAATATATGTCATAATTTTTACACTTTTACTATTGATAATCTATTTTCCGTTCATTTTTCTTTCCGTAGCTCGAATTGGAATCATTCTTCTGACCGTAACATGTCTTTATGGTCTGAACGTAGTGCATTGGTCTGTTGTACTTATCCTTTATTATTGTCAACGTTTATTATCCAATGAAAGATGTTTTTTTTTCTGATGCAATAGAACTTTCGGAGGGTGTCTGGTGATTTCTTGTAAGTGATTTTTTTCTCGAAATGAGGAGAGTACATCTCCATATTGTGGACATTTTTGTATCAGTTGTTTATATGTATGAAGAATGAAGTAGTGAATGGCTCAATAACAATACGAAAACAACAAGGAGAAATTTACGAAGAACTTCTCACATTAGAAATGGGAACTCTATGTAAATTTCTACCACAAGAATTTGACTATTTACAGGATTTTATTGTTCGCATAAATTATGCACCACTAAAAGATAATCAAAAAATGATTTAAGTCAAGAATAAACATTGTAAAACTATACAAGAAGCGAAACGTCAATGGCTCATTATTGTTCTATATGTCTATGATATTAGATTAAAAGAGTATGAACAACAATATCAAAATAAAGTTCTACAATTACAATCAAAACTAAGAATGAGTAGCATGACTGACGATACATATGTCTTCGATCGAATTACAGAATATATGTTTTATCGAACAAATAAATTAAAAGGAAATATTGTTAAGAAAGTTTCATCTTTCCGAGACACGTTATTTCAACTTAGTAAACGTTCCTTTAATGAAAAAGAAAGAAAAATAATATATGAAATTTTAATTCGATAATATTTCCAGATAAATCAATGGTATTTTTATGACATGGAATAGATCTGAAAAACAGCTACAAAATTTATTAGATGAAGCAAATATTTAGCATCCTAACATTGAATTAGAATTAAAATTAGTAAAAGCCTTCCATTTCTTGACGTGGTTTTTACAAATAATAATAGTGTTCTATCCACATCTGTCTATCATAAATCAGCCGTAGAACCTTATGTTTTACCATTTATTTCGGTCCATCCTCGTCATACATATGTCAATGTTATACAAACGAGTCTTGCACGTGCTGCCAGATATTCATCAATGTTTGAAATATTTGACAATGAATGATATAATCTTAAATTAACACTATTACTCAATGGGTAAGTTTCTTTCAGTTATATTTACATCAATCAGTCTTGTAGGCGAAACATTCTCTAGGTATCCATCCACATTTATAGAATCCAATAAAACAAAAGAAACATGTATAGGATCTACGACCATATCTTCAAAGATACATCGGTCAGTAATGTCAAAATAATTGTCGGCAACCCCAATCAACGAGCTTCGAAAAAATAACTGATTCACAAATGACCTAAAAAATCATTATTGAACAACAAAGCATATTGATGTAAGTATTTCTGGAAATATGATCAACTACACTGTGAGCAAAATAATTTGCTACTATAATTAATTTCACTTCAGCACAACAACGAAAGCAAAACGAACGGAACCCAAAGACTAGCAACCAAATTGGCTCGATCCAATCATTTACAACGTGGAACTATGGTCAATAAGCAACAATCATCCAAAACTAAGAAAACATTAAAAGACACAACTCTAATCCAATAAAACACTAGCATATTTCTGTTTCGCTCCAAACTTCTATGCTACTAATAAAAACGCATGAGTAAATAATATTACAGAAATAACAAAAAAAAAAACATTATCTTCGCACATACACACAATTATATACATAATTTTGTTCTATTTCAGATAAAGCCATTGAACATCACATAACACATAATCCGTACAAAAATACCAACAGTATCGACGATAAACATGAAGATGAACATTACTAACACATCACTCCACATCAATACAGTGCAGTCGTAAAAAACCATACCGCCAAACGAAGATATGGGACCGAGCCATGAGGTGTCTGCTCACATACTACTAAACAAATACTTACTCAAAATCAAGACGATTACTCATCAATAATAGGAGAATCGATTGCACCAATTCCGAAAACCGGTCATGGCATGCTCCTCTCCACATCCACATCTTTCTAGACTCTAGACTTCATTGCGCTTTTGTTCATTTTAAAATCTCTTCTGGTCGTTTAGAAGTCAGACAGAAGAAAACAGGTCAACGATTAGAATGATGCAATATCCTGTATTATGAATTTATTATAGTTAGATGTTTTTTGAAATTATCATGAAAAAAACAACGTGTCTGTGAAAAAAATGTATGATGAGTAGGTTCGAATTTTAGATGCATTTTTATCGATGGACGTAGCTTTTATCTAATAGCTTTGAACATTTGAACTCGGTGATTGAAAGTGTCTGCCACAATTAAATTGAGCTGACGATCAAGGGTTACCCAATACGGCAGATTCAATTGGGTTAAATCGGTGCCAGATGACTGTGTAATTCCCGCAATTGTGATGCCGTCAGTGTGGCCAGACAGGAACAACTGAATTCGATGATTTTCTGTATCAGCTATGTACGTATTTCCTCTGCTATCTTGTACAACACCTAAGGGGCTGTTCAATTGAGTCGGTCCGCTACCAAGTGCTCCAGTGACACCAGCAATAAGTGTCCAATGGTCATCCCCCAATACCCAACGAACAACATTGTGGGAGTCATAGTTAGCAATCAACAAGCTTTTTGACGATAAGTGAAAGCCAAGTCCATAAGGTGAGTTCAACTGGTTATTACTTAATCCAGGCCCGTTGCCACCAGCAACTCGTTTACCAGATGAGGCACCTGACAAATATTCCATGATGCGATGATTACGGGTGTCTGCAATGTATAGTGTGCCCCTGCCAGGAAGACGTACAAGAGCGGTAGGAAACTTAAATTGATTGTCGTTGTCGCCGGCAACACCTGAACACAAAATAGGATAGAAGCTTCATTAGAGAACGCTTATCAACATAATATATGTAACAAGGTTAGAATATGGAACTTGCATATACTTACACACTTATCCCTCAAACGCAACATTATACGGAAAGATAAGATCCTCAATGGAGAAATGGTAAAGTGTTAATGGTGCTTTTGTAAATTATTCTTTCAGTGCAATGTTCTTATGGCTATCCTTTACTCGAATTTAATGCGCTCATTCACTTTGCTTTCACAGAATAAGAAAACATACAGTAATATGTTGTGCTAATTGCTTCAAATGAACTGCTAACATGTGGCGCTTTCTAATTGCCCGTGATTGCCTGTTTTTCGAGTTCTTCTTTTTAGCATTGTTTTCGCTCCCTACTATAGCATATTGACCCATTAATGAATGTTCTGTCACAGCACTTTCAATTCAGAGAAATAACCAATTTCCTTCACTTTTGGTACATCATCGTTGTTATCATCTTGTTATCGATGAATGAGAATCAAGAATCAGGATTCAAACTGTCGGCCATTGTGACATAATGACCTTCACAAAAGTTCGATGATCATTGATACTAGTTGTACTAATAGAGAACTACAATAGTAGTCGATTTATTTTATTCTATAAGAATTTAGAACTCTCCAGTTAAGGAAAGTAGAACTCTAGTTTCTGCTAGAGAAAATTAGCATACAAAAATTTTCATTGATAAAACACAGATAAAGAGTACAACTCGAATGAGTCTTAAGAGAGATTAGAATTTCAAGTTTTCCAACGGAAATGATAAATTACGCTGAATTCTAACTTCTCCTGTGACATATATTGTGAAAGATACATATTTCTACAAATTATAGTCTGAATTTTACACAGAAAAATCATATCCCACCCGCACAGAAACAATATCGACTATGAACCTTTTGATTGGTACCATATGCAAGCATAGGTGGCGAAAATTTAGTCACAGTCGAATTTGATATTGTTTGCTTAGGTGAGACTTATTTATATGTTTATCTATCTATTGAAATGAAAAAAAACGAAAAATTCCAATGGCAATAAAGTCAGCTATCTATGTTGTTATGGCTCCTCACGGCATTGTTTATTTTATTCATGCACAGTGGTATGTAAAATAGATCAAGCATAAAATCGTACACTTAAATATTTAAGTATCTGCTATGGAGCATCTAACTTTTCTTTTACGACATCGTCAGTCATTTCGTTTAATTGAATTACAACAGAGCTGTGATAATTAAGACTTCAGCAAAAATATGAATTAAATATGGTCTATGAGCCAATCGCAACTTAATTATAGCTTGTTGGGACATATAAAGAAAACGTTGATAAAATAAATTCAGCTAAAATAGTGTCATATTGATATTGTCAAAATGAGAAAAACTAAGCTTTTCTTCAATTGATAGTCTAATGTGAATATGAAATAAATGATTTTTATACTTTTTGAAATTTGTCTAGCCTTCTAAAGATTTTAAAACTCTCATTGCCCTTGTATGCAAATGACGACCCAGTATGCTCTTAATGGTAAATCAAACTACATCTCCCAATCATACATCTAAAACCTCACTTTAGATTAATATTTTCGAGAAAAAATAATTATAGTTTAGTATGTTTACTAATACGGAATTTAGTGGGTAGCCCGAGATAATCTGAATATGTAAAAAGCAACATCTCAACAATGCTTATGTCAAAATCGATTACCTTCAGTGCCAGCGTATGTTGAGCCTTCCAACGCACCTTTTTCCCAGTACATAACTCGATGATTCTCTCTATCAGTGAAATACATATTATCATGTTCATCGAGTACTATCCCCGCCGGAAAGTGCAATGCTGTTTTTGATAAACCTGAACTTCCATCTGCGTTGCCAGCTACTGTTGTGCCAGTGTCACCTTCCATCGTCCATTTTTGAATTCTGTTGTTGTGGGAATCAGTAACATAGATTTCATTGTTTTTTCCAATCGCCAGAGTATAAGGGTAGCTCAATTGATTTGGACCCTGGCCTTCAGTACCGTCAGCCATGCCAGCTATAGTTATAGCCGTATTGTCCCATGTCACTCGGAACGCTGTAGATATCAAAAGGATAATGGATAGTAGTAGAAAATATTTGGTACATATATATATATATGAGCAAGTAGCGGAGTATTAATTCAAAAAAAACCTTTCTAAACTTTCTGTTCATGCATAAATATATAATACTCGAAATTATTTTTTGGATGATTTTGTTTTGCGTATAAGTGTTTGATAAAATTAGCTTTTGAGGCACGCCTAGTGCCAAAACTGTAGGTAGCACCTATGTTATATTCACACAAAAACTTTTCTCCTAAATATTGAGTCATGGTGGAACTGAATATATAACAATTAGCAATACTCATTTTCTGGTTTTTTTACAAATATTCGAAAAAAACTGAATCCACATCAATAGAAAGAGGAGACACTAAAAATCTTCATATAAATTCTTTGTCATTTTTATATGATGAGTAATTTTTTTTTCGAACTATCATATTTTGAAAGAGTGTCAGGCGCTGCAATTTTTTCAGAAGATGGTTCCTCAAAACCAAAAACTGTTTTGTTCATAAAACCTTAAATACTCTGCTATATTATGCAGCATGTGACAATCTTTCGAATATGACAGTTCGAAAGAAAAATTACTCATCATATAAGAATGATAAAGAGTTTTTATGAACATTTCCAGTTGTCTATCATAAAATAAACATTTCACTTCATAGACATTTTACTTTTAGAAAGTTTTAATGATCAAAAATGTAGCTCCTCTTCTCCTTTTTGTATTGATATGGATTCAGTTCTTTTCAAATATTTGTATAAAACAAAACAATAATTTAAGTTAAAGTATCGTCTAGAAAAAATCGTTCGACAGAAAATGACTACTACTCATTGTTTTATGTTAAGTTCTACCATGACTCAACATTTAGGAGTGAAATTTTCTGAAGATATAGCATAGATGCTACCTGTAGTTTTGACTCCAAGCGCGCTTCAAAAACTAGCCTTATAAGATAGTTATACACAAAACAACATCGTCAAAAAATATTGTCCAGTATTGTATATATCTACTTAAACAATGAGTATTTTGTGTCTTTTTTAAGAGAAGTCTTATTTACGTAAATCTGTTTATACAATATATTATGAACCTTTTTTAATTTGAACAGATCATTTAATTGTCATTATCATATGGAATCAAACATCGAATGGAGAGAAACTAATTGCGTTGCACAGCATTTATATATCAAAGAAAAAAAAATAAAAATAAAAAATACAAGAAAAGATGTTCAAAACAAGGTGGATTTGATATATAGGTGTTAGTGAGCAACTTCTCTTCATAAACAAACCCTATCCACTCACCTTAAACTCGCAATAAAAATTGAGTTAACAGTATAAATTATGATAAAATCTGTCTGAAAACTCTTCTTAGCTAAGCCGAAATCGCTAACCGTTGCTCATGCATTATGAGTATTACTTTATTATTAACAAAAAAAAAAACAATCAGCTAGTCAGCATCTATCCTAAATGCTTAGTTCTCTTTCACAAAGCTCATCTTACATTCAAACGATAATACTAATTTATTGTAAGACATGTTGATATATGCATATAACTTTATTTGATATAATACTTGATAATTACTATTGATAGAAGAAACATCATATCGCTCCTTATAATTCGTACACTTTTCTGCATATCATATCAAATCTAACTCAACCGAAAACTTCTTTGATTAAAAGCTCACGTTCTCTATATATTTAACCAGATCTATTCGGATAAAAAACTTGTAAAACTGTCAACTTTAAATCGACCGAAAATTTAGAACACATTTATTTTACTTAATATTAATTTTCTTCATATTCGCAAATGGTAAGTAATCGCTGCAAGGCATTACGTTTTGAAAATTATACATTGAGTTTTGATAGAGCTGAAACGCTAATTCTAGAAAGTAATTGGCTTAGAAGAGTGTTTTTCAAGAATTTTGTTTGCTCAAGAAGCCTATGAAAAATATTTCAGTCAGCAGAAATTCAACCTAAAACTCTTTGAGCAATTACTATCGTGTCCGATCAGCATTTTGTAGACACTTGTAAGTTCTACAAACATTAACTCGTGCAAATTAATGTGTCTTCTAAAGATCCTCTTAGATTGTATATCTTCTTTGATTATAAATCCTACTGATTTGCTAATAAACACTGACAACATATAGAGAGAGTCGACTCAAGATTTTTCTTTGATAGTTTCCCGATGATAATTCATACAACACCGAAACGTCATTATATTGAGATTTCTTGAATTAAGAAATTTGCGGAAGTTGAAAAATTCTATATTCTTCAAATATTAGGACTAACTCATTGATCAAACTAGAGATTTGAACATTATCCTAGAGCAAACTTTTAGAATGCTTGATTTCTTTAAAGCTTTGCTACTAATTTAAGTTTTCAAAAAATAATAGTGAAAATATTCGTGCAATGCATACAAAAATCTATGAAACATAATGCTATTTACCTTGTGGTGGAGAGGGAGGACCACGCTTTGATCGTAATAAATAATTTAATGACGAATCGATGTTTGAGGACCTTTGTATCATTTTGCCAGATCCTAAAATATAAAATGAAGAATGAAAATAGCCAGTCGTTTCTTAGAGCATGTTTTTTAAAACTGCACTGAGTCATTATCTGAAAAATTTATTCGAAGATAATCGATATACAAAAAAATTGATTTACGAACGTCAAATAACATTCAATAGAAGGAAAATATTTTCAATCTTCTCTTCATCGTCATCATTCTAAGTAGTAAGTATTAAGAAACATTTCTAAGAGATGATGCATCCTTAATGGAGTTTAACAATTTTTAAGGTTCTCACTCTATTTGCTTGTTTCCACCAACTAGGCTTACGGGCGAAGTTGACTCTGATGCTGTTCTCTTGCTCAGCTTTTTATGGCACTTGTGATAGACAATTTTGAGAGATGCGAGAACCGCTTTTTGAATTCTATTGTTAAAAAGAACATGCTATTTTGACAACTTGGGAAAAGCTCTTTGATATATGGGAATGTCACGATTCTTGTTTTTTTTGTTGACAATCAGCACCTTGTATTATCGCTCTGAAATAAGTACCTGATGATTACTCAGTGATTTAAAAGTGATCAATATGGAAACTTTCATCCATCTTTGATCTAGAAACTAATACAGCAAGATATTTCCAATGTTAATCCTATATAATACTTAGTTACTTAGCCTTTCTAAGTTTTTCTGTACGATAAACAATCTGAACAAGTAATCCGCAGCCGAAGTTGCTCAACTGATAGCGTCAGACAAGACTAATTCTCTCAAATATTGTTGAGACAGCAGACTCATAAAAATGCACACAACCCATTTGCAAAAAATATCGTAGTACTCCTGAAATATCCATTTATTACAAAAAGTTAAAGTGAAAATCAGTTAGTCCTAGATACTTTCTCTCTGAAAAATATGTTTTGATCATTGTAATATTTTTCATTTCTTATTTTGGCTTTTATTGAAATATATTTCACCAGTAGCAGAAAATAATTTTGGAAATACTTATCGCAATAACGTGATAAGCATTCTATGGAAACTTTAAATGAACGCTTTGGAATGAATATCTGAGCTTTATTTCTATCAATCAGTAAGAGTCCAGCAATTAAAACTTTGCGCATAAGAAGATTTCGATCATTACTCATTCTGAGAAAAATTTCAGGGTTGCATTAAACTGTCTTTCTGAAAGATAAATCCAACTAATCTTCATTTTTGATCTAATCATGTTTTATTGAAAGATATACATTAAAACTACGCATCTTGCTCTATCTATCAAAAACACATTATCTTTCGAAATCTGTCTATTCAAATACAACAGAGTCTTACATATTTCCAAGAACTTTTGCATCATCTGTCATGGTTGGCTCAAATTGTGAAGGTGTGTTGAATTATTGTCGTCTCATGGACTTCTCTCAGCTATGCGTCATATGAGATCTTCTAACAAGCTTCTGGTGAACGAAATAAATTGATCCTACAATAGTCGTTGAAAATGAACTCAGAATCGTAAACTTAAAAGAATATGTTTGAATGTACTAAGAATGCAGCGTTAAAAGAAAATCACTTGACTGTTGGTTATCTATTTTTAAGTTAATAGATCTTTGCAACTACAAAAAGCATACATTTATATTGTTATTATTCTCTGACCTTATTTATAGAAATCTTGTTTCAACATCGCTGTTTTCAAGTAAGAAGTTCATCAAACGCAGTTTATATATTTCACTGTTCTACTGAAATATAGTCAGCAAAGAACAATATGAACACCAGTGTTTCTAGTACTTTTCTTAAGGCATTTAGAAACATGGTTTGATTCAAAGAACAGTTTAAATTTGACAACTTTCTTAATCTTTAAACATGAATTTTCGTATATTGTGCGTTCGACAGAACACTTGCAGATTAAACCTACATTCGTCCTTAAACCTTCGAATAAATGCCTGATGAACACTTGAGAAATCTATATCGGTGTGTTTTGAAGTAGGATTGTCTCATGCTTTAGGACTCTATGGAAAGAGTTCGAGAAGGGACTTTTGCAATTGTCTGATAGATCCAATTATATCTGAAATATGTCATAAATAAGCCAATAAAATGAAAAGAAATGGGTTTGAAATAATCAAAATTTTCTTTAACTCTTTAAGTGCTAGTGTGTTCGATAAGGCGCACTTTTTTCAAACTTCATAAATTTTAAATAATTCACGAACACAAAACAATATCGAAGTACAATTTTTCCTATGATATAGACAGCACTTCGGTGAACACATTCATGTGAAAATTGTAATACTAGTAAGGTCAATCAGGTAGAATATTTGATAAGTCTAGGAGATACCACCAATGCATCGCTTTTAGGAATTATA